AGTTAGACATATAAAGTTTTTACCGAATACAAAAATTCACCTTTATACATCAATCTACTTATCCAGTATCAAATGTTTACATCCAATCTTATCTCTAAGAAAGGAGTTGTAGGTTTTGGTTAGCTCTGTACAATCATATGATTGCCTGACAGTCGAGCAGCTTAGTCCTAAAATTTCCATTCACAACCGAACACAGATTGCTAATTTTTATAAAGCTGTTTGAATATAATACATAAATAAATGTAGGTAAATAACGTAATCCAATACTTAATGATTAAGACGTTGAAACTGTTTGTATTTAGGTAAACGGTGATAACCAATAATAAAGACACAATAACAGCAACTTCAAGTTGATCTTCCGTTACAGTGTTACGTCATTCGTGTACATGGATTACAGCTTAACTCTACCCCTTAATAGTATTTATTGAAGTTTCCCAGTTTATCTTTCAAGATCTTATAGAATTAAGTTTAAACCTACCAATATTACGTAAACCAGAAAAGCTACATCAAAATCTTTTGTAAATAAATAATAATATATTCGTGATAGGGAAAAGCATATTTTATTAAATTAATATATATCAAATAATGATTCTTAATAATAATTAATTTTCTTTGAGTTTAGTTGAAATGATATAAAATTTCTTACCTTTGTGAACCGAGTTCCTTTGAGTCTCGTCTACAACCCAGCGCATGTGAAACTTTACATTCCACAATTCTACACTCTGCTTGCTCCCAACCCTATTAAAATTCTAGATGAAACATACGTATAGTTTAACGTGGGTTTTATAGTTAAGCCAAACTTTGCAGGCGGTTCAGTCACTTGAATCTGAATACGTAAAGATGTTGTTTCTCCAAAATGGCTGAATACTAAATTATAAGTGTATTCTAATAAAATCTTTTTTGAAAATAACAATCTTAATATAGACTGTCTATTATCTTCTGACAAGTTTTGATTATTAAAAGGAAGAAAAGTATCCTTGATATTTTACACTTGCAATAGAGTCACTACTTACTCACCAGAAAGATGAATTATAACGTACTTCTATAGTACTAAAACAGTTCTTATTTTATTTCAATAAATAGACAGGCTTCTACGAGGAGTAAATTCCTTAAATGCTTCTCATAATATTTTATGTTTTTTTAGTAAACGCATATAAAATTCATTGATTCCCAGTTCCATTACAAATATAAATTCATACTATATCTATAGTATCGTAGCCGCACATGGAAATATCTATAGACAAAGTTGCTTTATAAAACATATTGCTACTCCAGCCAACAATACAATACTTTGTAGTGTGTTTCCCAAGGGCGTTGTTTTTGAAATGCATGTTAATATAAACTCGCAGACATGCAAGACCTCCTCGTCTCACATTATTTGGCAAACTCTTTATCTCCGGGCTACAGCTTGTTTATCGTCCTACTCTTATATACGACTTCGTTATTTCCCTATTCTTAAGACATAAAAATGTCATCTATAAGAATAACCATGGTTTTATCTCCATATGTAAGCTGATAAGGGAAAATAATGAGCGGACTTATTTGGATCGATGGAGATTAACTTGTTATTGTAGCAATTTAATATAGTAAGCTTAATAATATGTGATAAAGTATTTACTGAGCCGAACATTCTGTTAGAATAATATAATACAAGTAGCAATAATGTCCATATTGTGACGGCAGTTTGGACAACATCATTCCACTTGTTTTTCTTGTCATTAACAACAACAGTTAACATAGAACGGCTAAATTAGTTTTGTTTTAGCAAGATAATTGCGTACGCTTTTATTTACGTTTGTTATTTCATTCGTTACAGAAACCGAGCTGCCTTGAACGAGAATACGTCTTTTAGATTGGATCTTACAATCACGATCAGATAAATAAAATCGTAATAAGAAACTTACTTTTATGAAACTTCAAATATTTGTATTACATGAGAGTTGTACGTAATGATACAATAGAAATTACCAAATAGAACAAATAACCCCAATAAGTACCTAAATAAATATTAGGCCAGGTATGTGTAGTACGTAGTTAATGCGGCTCTTTGTGTTTTCAGCGGCACATTACGGCTCCCTGAAGCATGCGAGAGAGCATAAAATATAATAAGACTCGCATAATGAAAAAGGGGTCAATGTAGCCGAGGAACTACTCGTATTTATATGTTGTACATAGCTTTTGTTAGTAACAAACCCAGTTATTTTTGTTATGAAATATAAATTATCTTTTGATATTTGAAAATAATATCCTCTTCTTACGTGTGATATATATTCAAAAGTAAATTACCAGTGTCTCAAAACGTCATGTAAGATTTTGAAATATGTTCTATGCATACATAATCGTAAACTACTATGTTTGACATAAACTGACGTTTTAATTGTTAATTATACAATAGCAGTGTCGGTCTCTGATTAAATTATAAATTTAGTACTTGTTACAAGGATCTCCGTATTCCCGCAACAAAAGCTGGACATAATGGACCAAGTTGGCATTTGCCAGATCTGCGAGTGAATATTTAATGAATTCGAGATAGGCTGAACAAAAACGTATATCCATAAGTTGCGATCTCCAAAGACGAATACAATGGTAAAAGATTTAAACACAATTCATTTTTAATTGAAATTTACCATACCACCTAATATTCCATACAATTACTATGAATCAGTAACAAATAAAGTAATATTATTTATATTTTATTTCTTTGCACCTCATAAAAACTAATTAACAATCCGTATTTCTTTTTGATTTAGAATTAAGTGAATAATTTTATACATTAAACATCCAGAATTTTTTTATTGTTTCTAGATTTTTCTATCAAACAATAAAATTTAATTAATTATTTTGAAGTCTCAAATAATTTTAATTTGGTATAAAATTAGACCTTAAAAAGTAGGTAAGATACTTTCTGGTGTGGTAAAAGATAAGGGAATGGAATCATAAAGCTACGTAGTTTTTTATATATTCTTAGTAATGAACTAAAATTCCAATTTTTATGAATCATTTCCTTTAAAAAAGTTATTTTCACCATTTAAAATAGGAACATTCTCTTCCAATTTAAACGAAAAGTCTGAACAATGAAAACTAAGAAACCAACGTTTTCTTTTAATGAAACAAAATCTTTTTCTCATTGTCACTCCTCTCTTAGAATACGATTGGCCATGTCTGTTGTTTTAATTGCTATGACCGTTGCATACTGATATTAATTTAAAGGATCTTTTTAATTTACATTCTAGTAAAATCTAAATTCATCCACGAAACTGATTTTCCTTTAAGTAAGTCAAAATTGTGCCGTGAGTTATAGGGATGTAAATGTTTATATTTAATAAATATAATAATATTCACACAATTATAAAAATATGAGTTTCATTTAAATGAATAAAACTTAGATCTCATTAGAGTACATTTGTTATTAGTACTTGTCCCTATTAGTACTTCATTTTTTTTTGTACATATTCATCCTTTGAAATCCCTTACAAGTGTACATGTTTTATTCCAAAGAACAATTAAATGTATTCAACTGTTATAATTCCTCATCATAAAAGAGTTTCATACTAAGTCTCACTCCATTTAACTTGTAAGAGATGCTTCAGGGTCATAAAATAATTTTATTTTATGTGAAGTCACGTATAATCTCCCTTCTGTATACAACACAAACGTAATAAATTTTATGTTAATGAAAAAAGGAATAGTCGATTATAGTTGATATTTCATCTTAATATTTATGATCGAAAATATAAAAGACATTTAAGCTATTTCACAAAATATATAAAAGTATTTCGAAATTGCAAATATTTCGGAAATTAAATCGTGAATCTTCGAAAGTTCTTCACATAGATATTATAAATATGTACATCGTTTGCTTTTTAGGCGAATATCTAAAACAGAATATGTATAAAATTTAAAAGTCCTAGTCCGATTGTAAACAATTAAAAGAAGATTTTATAACAGGAATTGTAGAACGATAGCCATATTGGAAAAGTTGCAAACATCAAAAAAATATTTTCGATTCAACTTCAGAAAACACAGTTGCTTGTTAATTGTAAAAATAAAAGGATATGTTGAAGAATAACAAATTTAAAAAATACGAACATATTTAAATATACATATATATGTATAATGTAAATGATAATTTTTATATTAATATTCGTAATTTTTTTAATGACGATGTACGTAATATTTGTCATAACTACTGGGGTAAAATTCTTTTAGTTATACCATGAAACTCTTCTTAATGTGAAGGCGTTTCTGTATTAAAATTTCGGAAGCTATTACGTCATAGACAAGTGCATTGGTTTTTGGTCATTTATTTTGCAAACCAAATCCGAGCTATCTCTAAAATTAAATTAGCAAAGCTCAGATGCAAAACCTCGACTCCACATTCAATAAACTTATTGTATACTGGCTGAAAACTAAAGAAGGAATCATTAACTGAAAATATGCTTTTGTATGCATGTGACTAAATATTAAGTATGTAGCTTATATAATAATGAGCTTATTAATTTAAAGAAATATCATAAAATACGACTTTTTAACTTTTCATTTCAAGAAAAAAAACTACAATTATTACGTATTGTCATTTAATAATTGTCAAAATAGCTTATCCTAAATAAAATTTATGTACAAAACTTTAACGAATCCGCATTATTAAAGGAAAAAAAACTGTGAAAACCGCTATAGTAACTTTTAAGTTAAAATTGAAAACCAAGAGCGGAGTCGTACAAAAGCTTTTACACAACATGCAATGACTAGTCACTGCTAAAAATATATACAATGTTATAACTTATGATTTAAAGAAATTTCTAACAACAGACAAAAAAATATAGCACCATCTTTAAAGTATAAAATAGGAAAATAGTATAGTTCATTAATTATGGCAACAATCAAGTTTTACGAAGTTTAAGACCAAAATAGATTACGAGTATTACAGAATTATAGAAAAGCGCAACATTGCGATAGAAATAAGTCTGTTGTCTGGAAGAGGTGATATTAGATTATATAAATTACTTTCTGCTAAGACTTTCAGGGATGTAGTTATCAGTTCCAGGTATACCTGTACCGCCAGAATCACCAAGCCATGGGTATCTGAAATTAATACAATTTATTTATATTAACGTTTAGCAATAAACTTTAATTATTGCCTGCCTCTGATCAGAATTATTGAAACGTCAAGAAAATATAGAAATCAAATAAATACAAAAGGACAAGTTGTCAGATAAAATTAGTTTCATATAAATGAGTACATAAAAATCTTAGCTACCATTAATTCTAGGACTACAATCTTTAATGTACACAGCAACTTTTGCATATAATATAAAGAACATTCTAGAAACACAGTACATGATCTAATATGTACTAATGAATATATTCAGAACGTCTCAGTTATTCTTACATTAAGTTTATAAAATCAGTATGACGTAATATATTTGTAATATCCACTCTTAATTCAGTTACGTGAGTTTTATATCAACTTTATTATTTGCTATCAACTTTCATGACTCAGTCGGTTTACCAATCACGTTTCGTTCAAACTCATTGAATGAAAGTTAGTTAATGATTCTAAATATTGAATAGTAATGGAAGATGCGAAGGGTATAATTTCTTTGAAATGGAATTAACTTACTGCTTAGGACACTCAACACATGTCTCCATATATCTGGTGTCTGTGAAATTCGTTTCTGGCAGTTTGAACGGCAGTGCGCACTTGTTTGATAGGTTACAGGGTTTGGGCCCCTCCTTCTTGTCACACTTCCAGGGCTCGTAGTTGTTCAAAGACTTCACGGAGCGAGGGTCCGTCATCCACGTCAGGGATTGAGTCATTGTTACGAACCAAACGTCGTCCCTAAAACATATATTCAACGAACGTCAGGTGATATTCTACAATTGTTTAACCTATATAAACTCAAATTGCTTCAAACCTTATATAGATGTTATACAAACGACATTGGAGATGTTATTTCCTTATGCATAGTCACAGATTTAAAAAATAACGACTGACTAACGATTTAAATTATCGAATAAAAATATATATATTATTCACATAACAATTTCTATATATTTTTCATAATTTCTCGGTTTCAAGAGTAATTTAATCGCAATTATTTTTTCTTTAATTAATCCGTAAAATTGGCATTTAATATTTAAGTTTCTTTTTTTTTTGGTTCATCACAGCTTTATAAATATCTCAAATATATATAAACAGACAATAAACTAGAGTTAATATAATTGAATAATAATAATAATATTATACCGTACAGTTTAAACTATAATTGCAATTGTTATTTGAATGTTACGTATGAAGACAGTAGAATCCTTAATGGCTGTGCATTAACACACACACATACGTACGTTTAGCAGCAAATGTTATTGCTTATATAAACACTATGTGAGCAGTAAATAGTGGTATACGTTATCTAACTGCGGTAACATAGGTATTATTGTTGCTTACAAGTTAGCAGCCCAGTTTAAGAATTTATGGAGACCTCGCTCCAGTGGCTTGATCTGGAACCAATTGGTATGGAATGGCATCATGTATGGTGCCCGGTTTTGTTCGTAATGCCTGGTGAAATCTTCCTGAAGCCATTCTAGAACCTGGTGAAACATATAAGCTATATTATGTTCATGTATTGACATAAGCTCGTTATTTGGAATCAGTCGATAACTTCTAAGCACATCTTTATAGGTTCGAAGACTAAACTTGCGCGTTAAACCCAACCATCTCCTCTCAGCCGTATATGAGATAAGCTGTTCGTCTAGACGTTATTTTTAAATAATTTATAACAACATTCGAAAGTTATTCATAAAATTTTAAATACAATATTCTTCGCTGGCATACAAGAGATCAAAAAAAAATAAAGGTATAAAATACAGAACATAATAAAATGTAGATTCATTTCAGATCAAGAAAAACAATTCACTTCGAACTAAACATAAACATTCCATTCTTTTTTTGTTTAAGCTAACAATTTTATTTGCAGCGAATGGAAATCAATTACACGGAGCAAATAAAACACATCTGTGTTTTATTTCTTGCGGCGTTTAATCCGTCCAGTGTATCGGAAATTGCAACGCTTAAGTACAAAACGTCGGCTAAACAACTTTCAAATCTTACATACGACTTTACCATTTTTATTTTAATTAAAATAAATTCATATTTTCAACCTTCGAATCATATTTTACGTCGATGGAAGGAAGTTGGCGGAAATTAAACAGAGTTGCCGATGAAAAGATTTTTTTTTCTTTATATAAAATATATTATAACATACTTTACTGTTCTGATAAAGTTTTGCTTCATGTCATTATGTTAATATGAGCTGAGTCAAAGTAAACTTTCTTCAAATAAGCTTTTCAAAGCTCTTATAAACAAAGTTGCGAACGTATTCAGCATTAAATTTTGTAATCTTCAAAATGAGTTTTAAATTCAACTAATTATATAAAAATTATTTTAGTTTTAATAAACTTGATAGTACTCTGAAAATGCTGTCACTGATAAAATAAAATAGATGTTTTTCTGCCAATATAATGATTTCAACACTCACATCATCAGCATCATGATTGTGAAGAACGCATTGATCCAAGTAAGGGCAATGACCACCTTCGTAAGATTCGACGTAGTGAGCGTTAAAAGGCACTTCCCAAAGACCTGTGATAGACAAACGATAGAATTTAACAACATTTCCTATTTCCAATAACATAATGAACCACTTCTACTAAAAGTTAGAGAAATAAAGGTGACATGATAATAATTACCGGGGAAGGCCTTAGTAGGGCAGGTTCCGGATTTGCACTCGTGTGGAATCTTGTAGTCGAGGGTGTAAGGCCACACGGGTTGAGGACGGGGCGGTACACCGATGGAACTGTCGTATATGTAGCCAAAATCTTCTAGAACCTTATCGAAGTAAATGTAGAAGAATATTAGAATATGTTATACACACTATAATAGTGAATAAATGAATTAAAAGCTTTTTTTGAATATATTTTGGCAAGGTTCTACATATTTTAAAATCCAGCATAGCAATTCTTCCGGATAGGCCGGACGATACAAACAGAATGCTTAATTCACTGATTCAAATAGGACACGATAGTTTGGACGGACATAGTGACTGTCTTTGGAACTAACAGATTCGAATCCTAATGCTCTTTGGTATGTTCTATGTGTTTGGTATATTTATCTGAATTTTAATTTACATAATTTTACCATTAACGTACTATCTAATAGTACTAGTTGTGTTCACACTTTTTATCATTGAATATGGACTTTTTATATCATGCTTTGTCAATATTGTAATGAGTGCCTTGATAACAATTAAAACACACCAAATAATCACACCCATCTTTCCAATTACTTTTTGCTTTATTAGTGTATCTATTAAAGAAGATAAAACAAATATGTAACTTTTTTGATGTCCCCATAAATATGACATGAAAATCGTTATGTCAGCATTTCATAATTTCCATTTCATTGTAATCTAGTGATAACAAAGTCTAGGTAAAGTAGTAGTTCAAAGAAGAAAAACTATTATAAATCTTTACAGACATTTAAAACATAATTTTAACATAACATTTAAAAGACAGTTTTATACGGAGCATTCTGAACACATTTACTTATACACTAAACCGAGTTTCCACAATATCCTTTTGTAAAAAATATTTCTGTATTAAAATTTAAATTAATGTTCAAATTAATTTTAATATACGTTTTAAAGTTTTTATAAAATAGAACATTAACAGCGGTAACCACAGGTAATCAATATCGATTAAACAGTTAACTATTCTATTAAAATTTGAATGTCGAAATTGTATCAGTGTATGGATGTTAAATGTAATTGCTTAAGAGCGAAAACCACAGACAGGAACATAATACATTAGTGTTTGGAGCATAATGGTATTGGAATCACGAAACATCATACAGCCAGATGTAAATTAAATTAATTAATAATTATAAAGTATCTACTTTATTTAATTATATTGTTCTGTGTTTTTATTTAAATAGTTTTTATTATTTATCGACCTTTTTTGTAATTAGTTTCTAGGCTGACTAAACAATTTCATCCGTTATACGGCATGCGTGATACAAATTGCCACTCTCAGAGAATGCTTTTGACGTATGAGCTTCAACAGCAATTTCTCGCTATTATGAACAAGATCCAACGAAATTCTAAGCCTTCTACACTTCAAATATGTATTTAGTATGACAGACAATATACTCGGTCAAATAATGACGCAGTCAGGAATGACATATACGCTATATTAGAGTGACATCTATAAAACTTACACAGATAATAAAATATTATAGTATATATACGTTTAGTAGTCTTACTCACAACTATTAAATGACAACTCTTTGCTCCATATTATATATGTAGTTAAGCAGTTAAAAGAGAACCAACTATTTTGGTAAATAACGTAATGCGTATATTCCATAGCAGTTTGAATATTAAATACTCATGAATACAAAGTCATGTTCGCGGCTAGTTTCACAAAATAGTGTGAGGACATATAATATTTACAGTAGTTATTGTTTATGCATTATACGATGTATCAAACTTTTGAAATGTAAATTTTAACAGCGACTTTACTCTCTAAATCGATTTTTAGATTGACTTTGATTTATATTTCAATGAATAAACGTTTTACGTTGATGAAATTGCTTTATAATAAATATTAAGAATTTAAAATTATAAATAGCAATGGCTTTAAACTATTTTTGATAAGTAAAATTTTGTCTTGATCTTAAATAAATTCAAAATAACCTGATGTTCAATGCACTTATTATATTTGAGTCCATTACACATGTAATATACTTCATAAACAAAAAATTAAAAATCACTTAATATCTAATAACTCACTATAAGATTTCTTTAGATTTTTTTTATTAAAACAGTTATCAAACAGAGTCGACACGTGTTTTATAGATGTCTATTGTTTTAGATTATTATTTGCTCTACATACCTTGAACTGCGTGTTTCTTCCAGGTTTGAGGAATGGTGCACGAGTCCCTACAACTTCGCTGCGTGAAATGTTAGCGAACTTGTTAAGAATTTCCCGCATCCCAATTATCTCACCAGCCCATTCTTCGTAGCCTTTGTCTTGCAGTCCTTGCTGCTGCGATATCGTGCCTGTAGCGATCTATAGATAAATGTAGACACATAGTTTAGACTTTAGCAAATTGCCGTTGCCGGTACTGTGATTCTATTCTGAATATTGAATATTTTGATTTATACAAAACATAAAACATTATAAAGATTGGATCAAACATACGAGCGTCGTTATTTTCGAAATACACGTATTTTGCTTTAATAGATTTATCTGAATCTACATTTCATAGCAACATCTAAGTTATTGAATCTAGAAGATTTATATAAATCCTTATACAGGGTGATATTGGAAATATTTGACAAAATTTAATATGTTGTTTTTTGTGACATATTTTTTGGACTGAAATATAAAATGTAACATTTAAGTACAAAAACAGACAAACAATTAGAGATGTCTTGTAATTAGTGAATAAAAACTATTACTTTATATATTAAGAAATGAATATAATATTTTACTTTATATTCACGTATAAAACTGTCAAAGAAAATTCAAAAAGTTTCAGTACATTTTTCTTTTTTATATGTATATAAATTGTAACTTAATTTGATCAGAACATATTTTGAAGTGATTTCAATATCATACTGTATAAACCCATCCACTATAAAGGCTCTCATAACAGAATAAACATTTGCAAAAATCTATTTTCATACCCATTACTTGTATTACTTTCACGAGACCTCTTGAATTGTTGATAAACTCACAACGTATGTTAGATCTTTCTTTGTTATTTACATTCAATACTAATAATATTTCCATTCTTTTTTTGTTTCTTTTCGTGACATAATAAAAAATATATAAAATAAAAAAGCGTACTAGAAATATATTTCACTATGAAATAAAAACTCAACTCAATTTAAATTTCCATTCTCTTTTTGTTTTATGAACGAATAAAATATAATAAATTTACCTCGTGACCATCGTGTGCGAGGCTCTGAACCATGACGTAGTTGCTGAAAAAAGTGTATTATTAATTATAAATGACTGCGAACAGATATTTAATTGTGTCAGGCATTCATAAAATTTTTTGAACAACATACCATACATACACTTTGTCTATAAATAAAAAACATGAGTCATCGATACATTAAATAAATAATAATCAACTGTTTGTATAAATATAGATATGAAGTACACATTCTAATTACTTTCAACAAAATTGACGTAGACTAAGGCTATGTATACACAAAGACTTGACGTGTCGGGAAACGGGACGTCAAGAAGGCTTAATCGCCTTCAGTTGCAGATAACCCAATTTTACGGCTCTTATGTTTCGCCTAACGAAACACCTCTCATTCGATTACGTTACACGATTCGTACTAAGACTTAATCTGTATTGAAAACGTTCCAGAAAGTTCTATTAGGAAGAATAAAATTTAATATTATCTACTTACATTTCACTAACGTAAATACATGTTTTTTTTTATTTAGAATAATATAATTCTGATTTATTAAAAGTACATGCCCGGTTTATCTGTTTCATGAAATAACTTAAGGTCATTGTTAATTTATTTAACTTTACAAATTCGCTACCGTTCTTAAAAAGATAAAAAATATTCGTAATTTATCATATTCCGCTACTATTTTTTTATGTAGGCTTTTCTCTCGTTTTAGGAGATGATTCCAGATAACATTTTGTCAGGATGAAAAATAGCCTTTATCAATTTCCGGGTTTCAGTTTTTGTTTTTATACTTTTTCTCTCTTGCAACAGAATTCTTTTGTGTGGAAACGACGGGATACATGTTAAAATTATATAGGTATGTAAAAAAAATTCTATTCTGTTTCAAAAACTAAGAGTAAAGAAGTGAATAAAACATATAATATGGAATAAATCACTGCTAGAACCACAGAAACGGAAATCACGTATACTAACAAAGCTTCTTAACCGTCGTCACGTGCCTTGAGACCTATTTGTAGAACTCTTATAATACTATTTAAACTGTACTCGTAAACTAAGAAGTCTTTGTAAGTCATACATAAATACTCGTTGGTTGTATGAATGAGATCGCCCTTTAGCGATAGGACCGTCAAGATTGTACAGTTTTATCTACTATATATCTAATGCTTGTTAATTTAAAGGTGTACAGTAAAGAATATTATTATTATAAATAACCAACTGAGTTGAAACCGCCTCCAAGCTATAATGATCATCAATCAATTGAAGTGAAATCAACATTATTGTTTACTATACCACAAATCATCAGTCTGATGACTCCATCTGGCATTATTACGTAATTATAACCAAGAATTTCACTGTGATGAAACTTAGTTCTACAATACATTTAATAAAACAATATAACGTTGAATATCAAAAAGTTTAACACTAACCTGTACTCGTGAGATAAGAAGAAAGTGCCCCGAATCGGACAGCCGTTTGGATTACGTAATTTCCCATTAAAAACTTTCTTGTATAAGTCGAAGTTATTCAAATTAACGGCGCCGTCAAACGTGAGCATTATCATCTGAGGCGTCTGAAATTTAAATAAATTATGTTAAGTTTATTAACAATTAAAACTGTAGAAACATTGTAATGAGGGTTTATAGTTTAACCCATTGCCAGTTTACTTTTACCCTAGAAAGATAACATGGGATGTTATTTTATTGACTTACATATGTATGTCTAATGTCTATATAATATAAAGCCCAACGATTCTGAATCTATATTTGTTTAAAGGTAATTTTTATTCGTTCAACAGTTTGAACCTTTTAAAGTTTTAGTTTTATAAAAGACACGAGTATATTTTGAAATAATATAATTTAGTTTAATATCACTATTCTTTATTATTTGTAATCTTAATTGTAGCTATAATTTTTAAAATTTTTCTTTGTAAGCGAACTTTGTTCTTTTTGAAAATAAACTTCTTTAAACCTAGGTTTGTAAAAATACTTGGTTTAGTGAATAAAAATGTTTATCACCAAAGGCGTGTATAGTAACATTAATGAAGAGACAGTAATTAATTTTTTATTTTTTTTGGTATTTTATCTTGTAACTTCGATTTCTAATACACTGTTATATAATAAGGTCTATATAGTGATTATGAAATATGTCATTTCATATGAAGTATGTAAATTAAATTTTACAAATCTTTATTATTTCTACTCCCTTTCTCTCATTAATAGTTCTGTTAGTACTAAAACCAACTGTTAACGCTGTGAAAACCAACAATCCAAATGTTTGAAAGTTCATGATGAGAGAAGTGCTTGTAACTTTTTCATACAAAATCACTTTAAAGTATTTTCTTGAAACATTTACGTAATGAAAATTATATATTACAAAAAAAAACTATCATGTTTTTGTAATTCTGGATCTCGTACACAAAGAATAATTACCAGTTTTAAATGTCTAATGAATTAATTAATAATTTCTTAAAGTATGAAAGTCAAAATAACTAAATATATTTTTTTACTATTGAACGTAATAGCATTGTATCCAGAACAATCAATTGCGTTAATTCCTTTCTTTCCGTCATCTTATCTCCGCTCCCCGATTTTCTTTTCCTTCAGTAACGTCCTTATCGCTTTTATATAAATTTAATTTATGCTCCCTTCACTTGCTATCGGATTGTCACTACTAAAGTCACAAACGATAGATGCCAGTTTTGTTACAAAATCGATCTAAATATATGCCTTGAAGCTTACAGAGTGTAAATATCTTTTTATAATCTAAACGAAAACCAATTCCAAGTAATCCACTAAACCGTATTCGATTAATGTAAGCACTAGAATCTAGATTATAGTCTTACCTCCTCCGGGTCTAGCCCACCCGGGATAAGTGTGCCGTCTTTGGAGCAGAAACAATATGGCAGCTGACATTCTGATGGGTCGCAAATCGTGACTATGTCCTGAGGGACTTCAGTAACAGGAGCTACGGCTTTAATTTAAATCATGATTATTATACATACATTCAGTGGAAAGTACAAGAACACATTAAAGTATAAGCAATCCTTTCAGGGCTTAATGTGTGAAGTAAGTCTGTAGCACTGTCTAAGAAAACTGCTTAATCGCGTTGTGATTGCATTGTTCAATTAAATTATTTACGCCAAGTTATGCTCTACAATCCAACAATTGTAAGAATTTCCTACTAAGTCATGAACTCCAGAAACAATTCAAACAATCGCTTAGAAATAGCCCAGTAGTAAGTACATAGTGCATGTTTGCAAGCAGTGTGTGGCATTCGGTGTATGCTTGGCATCCGTGCCTTCTCGCCGATGTAGAAGTCTCCACTCTTGTTCTTGACTTGTAATAGAATAAATAAACGCTATCCAACATCTTGAATATACTGAGACTTAGATTTAAATTAAAAAAAAATAAATAAATAAAAAATGATAATTCCTGCTTAATTCTAAGTCCAAATAACATTACACAAACTTTTCCGGTCATATCTTGAGTGGTATTAACTTACTTGTTGCTATTGGTCCACATCTGGCTTCCGCTTTGAAAGTGCAAAATTTGCTTATATCGTCAAAGTAAAGACCTGAAGGACATCTGTTCAAATAAGGGAAACCGTCGACGCACTGAAAAGAAAATAATTACCTAATAGAAAATAGAAAATATTTTTTCATCGTCATTTCGTTTAGCAATTCAATTTAGCATTAAAAGGGATTCCATACAATGAAATCCTAACAAAGTCCTGGTCTTCGTTAAACGTTCCAAAAAAATGTCGAATGATAAATAAAAAGGGAATTATAACGGAAAAGTCGTACCAGAATCTTTCAAGGCTGTTTTCTTTATGTTACATTTAATAAAAATCTTTTTATCTTAATAATCAACAAACATATTATCTTCTATCCGATTAGACGAAACAATTACGGTAAAGTATACTTAAATTAACTTTTGATAGTTTTAGATGTACTTAGTGTTCATTATAAAGACATTTGGAAGCAGCAAATGGTTAAGTCGCGCCGTTAAACAAATTAAATTATTGAAATCAGGAATCCAGTTAGCACGGCCAACGAAACCGGTCAACCTAGAGAGGTAAAATCCACCGACTATAGATATAACACGTCTTTACATCAATAATCACGCATAAATTATATAATAAAATGTCGCTGTAGCGTAATAATTTAAATCATTTTTAAACAGTACTCAGACTTTATAACCGCATTTTCTATCACAATTAACAAACTAAATTATGTTACAAAAGCGGTGTTTTTCTTTTTACGGAACCCGAGGCTTAGTATAAGAAACTTTTTTAATTTAAAAAATTTTAATCACCGTAAATTTTAATTAATGGAAGTACTCACTTGGTAGAAGCGGCGGCAAGTGGCCGGATCAGCAAAATTGCCGTTGCCTTGAGTACCTCCGGGACAAATGAATTCCTCTTCTTCTTTCTGACAATTTACTGAAAATATATTTTTAATAATAATCTTAAACATCATGACAGCAATAATTTTAATTTATATCAAAAACGTGAAATGATCCAAATAATTTTACGCCGTAAGATATTATACCGGAATTTAATAATGCCTAAAATCGCCTTCACTCAGAGAACATTCATTATTAATACTGTTGATTTTAATTATACTCAGATATGACATAACATATTCAAATTAATTAAGCATCATTTAATATGGAAATAGATTTAAACGTACTTGACCTTTTAAGATTTAACTTTTAAATATTTAATAGAGCAGGAGACCGTAATATTATCAGTTATCTTATAAATATTAATTGCCTATTTGTGAACGTAATGTGATATAAAAATCGCAAATTAGATGCTCACTAACTATATGGAAGATAAATACATATAAATCATTAAAAGAAGTCAATAGGTTAAGGTCGAATTTTCTTATAACATCTTATTTATTCTCGAGACCTTATATGTGAGGACAATCAAGAATGATATATTTAAATTTTAAACTTCAACCTTTCATTCATCATGTCGTCACCAATTTATATTCAATTTGATATTGCTTAAGACTCACTGTGACATATTACGACAGAAATATTATCATTTGTTAAGAACTAACGCACTAAAGATATGTTTCAGCTTTAGAAATTAAAACTAAAATAACGTAAACGAGTCATGCTAACGCATTTAAGTAAATGTGGACTTTCAAATAAATTATAGGTGTCACGAAATGGCATAGTTTCATTGTGTTTACAAAAGAAAATAACATAAGTGTATTGTTTTTACATAACATTTGCATAATAAATACCTCTTACTTCTTACAAATTTCTAACACCTCAGAAATTGTCGTATGACCACAATTTACAACGTTTATGTAAAAAAATAAATTTCCTTTTTAACAATAAATTGGATAAATGATTTTTTATGATTACTCACAAATTATCATTGTGGTTATAATAGAGTAGAAAGATTTTTTTTATCAAAGTGCAAACATACGTAAAGTAATATTACATTATTAAAAATATGATATGTACTAAATACTTCCGATATTTTCGCTCACGTACCCAGTTATAAATTATGCAATATGCTTATATTTTTTGTAATATTTACAAATAGTTAAGCTGCATTACTATAATTTTTAGATATCCTGGAAGTACATTAATATAAAAAGTAAAATCATTATTATTATATTTCACTATAAATGGGATATACTTAACGCTGTTAGAGCCGTTTATAGTTCTTATTAAAATTTCAGATTTCTACTCGTTTGCCTGAAAAACTATGTACATATTTTTTAATTTAACCGCTTAGAAAACCGAGTTTGAAGTAAGAGACAACGTCTTTATGTGATTTCGTTCTACTACTCGAAGATCCCTTCATTAATTTCTGACTTGATGACAAGTGGAACAACTCAGGACAACGTCCTTGCGAATATATATTTTTTAAATTCAGCCTCTAGTCGAAAGCATAGTGATACCTTTTGAAACTTTTAATAATCTTTTTAAAGTCACTTTAAAATTATTCTATATTAATCCTGACAACGTTAGCTATTAGCTCGTAAAAGTTCTTTGATTATCGAAAACATACAGACAAATAGACGAACAATTTTTATTTAATTTTGATAAAGGTATCATACTATATCCTTTATAGACATTAAGTGAAATATTGTCGAATAGAATTTACATACCGACACATCATATTTATTTATAACTGTAATTAACATTTTTTCTATATAAAATTTTGTTTAACATATTCTGTATAAATAAATTTTAATGGTATTAACACTCAAACTATAGACGGTAGAATTTTATTTAATTAAATGTTTTATATCTATGAAAAAAATAATATAAATTTAATTGTACTGCAATAGATATTAGTTAAATAGTATAGTATAAATAGGTTTATCCAACAAATTAAACCAGGCCGTGTATATACAACATAATTAACCGAAAATAATCACAGAAAGATTTTCACGGATCAAATATTCGGAGCCGGAAAAGCCGATATTCATTATAATAACACAATCTATATATGTTATTTTCACATCACTGAACAAACATACTAAATCATTATTAGTATTGGGATAGTATATTTTAACAACTGACCCAAAACATTAGATTCAGTATTGATATATTTTATCTGTTAACGCACTTAACTATATATTTTTTTGCTTCCAAGTTTTATTATAATAATTACAATGAACAAGACAAAAGAACTTCTTTATAACTATCCGTCATTCTTTCTATCCATACAAGAAAAAAACGTACCATTTAAAACTAGAAAAAACTGTGGTATTTCACACAGAATGGGACCTGAAACTAATAAGGAAACCTTTTTATATCTTTCCGTGTTATGTGAATATGGATGATTGCGCAATTAATCAAATATAATAAATAGGTGTCGTCAGAGATCTCTTGGGAAATTATTATTATTTTACGCTTAATGAAGTTACTGCATACATTTTGTGACACACTTGATAAAGCGGATTTGTATGAAAGACCGTTAAGTAAATATTATTAGTCTTCAAACACGCATTGTTTGGTCTAATATAGAACTACAAAACTATTTGTCAAAACCAAAAAATATATAATTTTATTAGTTTTTTCCATTTTATTTATATAACATTACTTCGGATCAATATTTAATTAAACCTATTAATATGCCAGCCTCATATAATTAACTGTCAGCGCGTATAAGTCCGACGTTAGTCATTCTCTTCACCAATTCCAACACCAATAGGTTAAATTTAATTAATTTTAATAATTAAAGTGATGCTTTATTGAATTTATATACGGTATTTCCTGAAACCACTCGCTAATTAATGGCTTTTATTAATTATGTTAAAATTTTATTATGTTACCTATTTTGAGGGTGAATAAAATAGTTCTTAATTTGAGTACCTTTTGAATGGATACACCATTTTAAATTTGTATTCATACATAGTATATGGTTTGGTATGCGCCTTGTTACAAGACAGCATACGAAATTTTGGTGGGAAGGTCATATTATAAGAAATATGTTTATATACCCATTTTTGTTGTTTAAATATTTGTTCATTATATTATTTTGTTGAAAAGAACGATAGCAAAAATCTTTTTATATTCTATAATATACAATTTTTTTTTTCCTAAAATTGTATATAAACTAAAAATCGGAATAAATAAACTCAAATATTAAACAATATATAATTCCATTAATACCAGTACTTATATAAAACTGTATGAATCAGTTTTTATGTAATAATGAATTATCAAACTTGTGTAACAATGATATCGTAAACGTTACAATATTGAACATACAAAATAAGAACCACTTCTTTCGACTTTATATTCATGTATCTGCATGATACTACATCACAAAAATCTAGCAAACTTGAAAAATTTGTGAAACCAAATAATATAACAACCTTTAAAAGAAGAATTTCATTACAGGACCAAAAAAACAACAAAAAATCATTACAATTTTAAAACAAATCCCTGGTACGTAATACCTTTGGGTCATTAAAAAAGGCAACTAAACACGGTGTACATTTTAAAAGTGCTCTTTTAACGCTACACTCGCAAAACTACGAGAAGGTGCCAAGATCTTGTAAGCATATAAAAAATGTCATGAATGCAACTGCACATACTCAATAAACCTGTCTTGGGACACCACTTCACTATACATTTACGTCAAGGCAAAAACTTTAAGTGTTTTTGTCAACTAGCCTCCATGTAGTTTTAATGGATTTTAAGATATTCCGTTTTCCAGGCTTTCACGATTGTTAGAGATTGCAACAACAATTATTTTTAATAGTTTTTTAGTTTCTTTTGTCATTTACAACAAAGATATTTTAAAACTCGCGTTTCAATTATTTTAAAACATTTGAAGGACTTTATGAATGAAACATTTTCTGTATTAAACTAAATAAGAAATTTTAAATTCATTTTAATCTTAATATACTGCATAAGTATTTTTTTATTATGTATTTTAATATAATATATTGCGATAATATTAATCTACCGTCTTAAAAGTGAAGGTTGTATTAGTCTGGCTATTCGTTGCGGTCATACATCAACTCGTTGAGTAAACATTCCTGATGACCGATGAGACCTTTGCTTTCGCCAAGTTAACCTCTACAGAATATATATTGTAATGATATGCTTTCGAGCGTGTGAACTGTCAATATCCTCTATAATACAAAGCCAGTCACGTCTCAATGTCAAAATATAGAAAAGATCTATTACACAATAGAAATATAATACTTTCTAAACAATAAACCGATCATATTGGGTGTGAAGCGAAAAAAAATCTATGACAATGATTTTGCAATTGCGGATTCGTTCGTCTCAAATATACTTCCTATAACAGCTTACGTGTTCGAATGTAATTTATAAATAGCTTTCACTATATTTAGTTGTAACAGTTACGTTATATTCGATGTACAGAATAATTAAGATATTTACCACAATGAATCACTTGCATAACGTGACGCAAATACTGACGTTAACGTCATATTGACGATAATATTAATACAATCGATACAATATATTGTAAACTGTTGAACTAACCGTTAATGAATATGGCACAGAAGATAAATATTCGTAAAGCGCCCGTCATATTTGTCCAACTTTTCATATTGACTCGGTACACAAACATGGCCCTTCACCACCGCGCACGCACTGCCAAGAACAAGCTGTCGTTCTGAGAGACTAGTCTTCCACCACCAAAGTCACTGTCTATCAACTCGTCTGCACGGCTTTCTCCGGACTTAGAGTTCGCAAACAATTCAATGACGATTTACAAAAATTATTAAACATTTATAACCACATGACGCTCTTAGACATTCAAGTTCAAGCACAGAACGGTTTAATTGTATCTTAATAAGTCTTATGTGGGTAGATCTTAAATCGTATGACATGTATGGTTTAAAAGTAAGCTACCTTCAATTTAAGGTCAGCTTACCGGTATTAATATTTATTATAAAAGAATTAAATTTTTTAAGCTTTTTAAAATAGTTATATTCTATTAGTAAAGTTATTGATTGGT